TGGAGATTCCTCATATGTGAGGTAAGGATGAGAGACATATTAAGATTTATGCCTAAGATTGCACCTGTAATTCAATGTATCACTTCAAGGTATAATTGGCCCGCCAAGAAACTCTATAAACGCCTGTTACAATTAGGTTCTCAAAGCTTACTTCCTCGTGGAGATGGCGATGACCAACATTATCTCGGGTTGGTTTAAAAATCGATAGTGAATTAATGGAGCTCTGTTAAATTTTCTTTTTTTTTTAACTTGTGTTGCATGAATATTCTTTTTTTAAACAAAATCGTAACGCTAGCGTAGATGGCGCACTTGATCCCTGGTTAGCGAAACTTTGGGAAGTGTTAATGGAGAAATATCCATTGCCGCAAAATATGGAAGTGCTTCCCGATGATGTTTTATTATATCCTTCACCTTTACATGATGATGCCGTTTTTTGTGTTTGCGAGCACAGAGCTTAGTCCTTGACACTTTATTGTTCAATTACGCCATCTAGTTTTCGCGTCCAGTTTGTCGACTGTCTTGTTGACACCGAGACAATTCGAGTCTTTGAGGGTGACTATGTCAAAGCACGTTTGGTTAAAAATGAGCGTGTCACTGCACACGATCATTTCCAAGACGTTCGTCACATCGAATTAGACATCGACGATCCTAGTTTAAAGTGAGTTGTCATTTATTGGAGTGGTTTTTTTCAGAACATAGGGCTCCTTTCTTATGAATAGTTATTAGCTTCAATCCTGGTGATGTTGCTGTTCTCTATCCAAAGAATCTTCCTGAAGAAGTAGACGAATTTCTCGAATTGATGAATCTATCCGATATCGCGGATGATGCTTTCGTTCTCGTGCCTAATGATGAAGGTCAGACGCAGTATCAATGCCTGCATTTTTATACTCATTCTTTTCCTAGTAGACATTTCAATCTGCTTTTTTTCTTTTGCAAATTAGATCGCAAAGTACCTCCTCATTGGAATACAACATTGACTTTGAGGATTCTCTTTGAAAATTACTTGGATATCTTTAGCACTCCTCGTAGATCATTCTTCGAATACCTGTCATTTTTTACGACAAACGAGGATCATACCGAAAAGTTGAGAGAATTTTGTTCTGCAGAAGGTCAAGTAGGTGTCAGAGTCACCCGACCCTTTGCGTTTGAAATGACGGCGCTTACATATAATGTCATTCTCCACGCTATAGGATGATTTATACGCGTACAATCAACGTGTTAGACGTACGATAGCCGAGGTTCTTCAAGACTTCTCTTCGGCAAAAATACCATTGGAATATGTACCCGACATATTTCCAGCATTACAGCCCCGACAATTTTCAATATCATCCTCTTTAGAAGTTTACCCGAGACAAGTTCATCTGACAGTTGCTATAGTAAAATATAAGACCCGATTGCAGAAGCTTAGGACAGGTGTTTGTACAAAATGGCTATCAGGCCTGAGACCAGGTCAGTAGACATTACCATTCCCGGTGAGATACTCAAATGCTTATAACGATGAACTGTTTGCAGAGTGCTCTATTCCAATTCAACTTACGCGTGGTACAATGAAACTACCTACTTCAACATCTACCCCAGTCGTTCTTATTGGCCCAGGTAGAAAAATCTCATAAAAATCAGGTCAAATCGTTCAATTAATTTATCGAGTATACGCTAAAAAATAGGGACTGGAGTTTCTGTCATGCGAGCTTTTCTGCAAAAACGTATATCAGATGGCGCGATAGGTTTGCAAATGCATTATTATAGGAATTTTTCGATTTTTAACAACAAAAATGTTCATGTTTTTTTTTTTTTTTTTTTTTCAAGAGAATTACCTATTTTTTGGATGTAGAAATCGTGATAAGGATTATTATTATAAAGAAGAATGGGATAAATACGTTAGTGACGGACAATTAAAAGTGTTTGTGGCATTCTCCAGAGATCAGGTGGATGTCTTTAAATAATCTTATCTTCAAATTCTTGAATGCACAAATTAAAACGATTAATTTTCAGGAAGAAAAAATTTATGTCCAAAATGTCCTCAAAGAAAACGCACAACTGGTGTGGGAGATTGTTCATGAGAGGAGAGGAAACGTATATGTTTCCGGGTAACTATGATTGCAATGTTCTGCAAGTGTATTTAATATTTCTTTAAGTACAACAGCTTCATGCCTCAATAATTATAGGAAGTCCGACAGGATGCCAACAGATGTCATTAATGCTTTCAAGTCAATATTTATTTCCGAAGGCGGAATGACCAATGAGGGCGCTGATAACTATATAACCTCACTCGAAAGAACAGGAAGATATCAACAAGAAGTCTGGTGATCGTTTAAAAAAGATCGATATATCCGGCATTATTTCCTCTTGTCGTTTCAAATAGTTTCTTATTTTGGAGAGACTTCCATGTTATTTTATTCTTACGCTCCTTACCAAAAGTTTACATACACCTTCATTACTCGGAAATTCTGCTATGTATGCATGCTCTTGGTAGGAAGCATATAATACGATTTATTTTTTTCTCAAATCTATTTAACTAATGTGAGGGAAAACTTAGATATATAATAATGACTTATAAAAACGTCGTCTTTCTGATTTATGGAAAACTGTTTGTACATTATGTATAACGTTGAATAACAACGGCATTAAGAAGAGACGCACTGGATATGGTTTGGGATTCATCCTTTAGCTCTTTTGAAGGGAACGCTGTTTGTAAGATGTAACTGCGTGATGATTCACCCACTCTCGAACTAAATATCAATCGTGTTAATAATTTCGTTACAAGTGTAAAAAATCGAAAGATCAAAATTATCAAGATCGCAACGTACGCGTTAATAAAATTGCGAATATCCCCAATCGTGTGAGTATGATTGAATCTAGCAAGCATCCTGATTGAACGTGAATAATAATGATGTGAGAAAACAAATTTTGACAAATAAAGCAATTTAAAAATTTCATCTACCTTGTCCCATCCCCTAATCGAATCTGAATTGACGTTATCGGCAACGATTCATCAATTTCTAATTCGTATCCTCTCTGCGTCGATGTTCCGGTAACACTTGATGTAGTTAATGTTGGTGGATATGTACCGGGTGTGCTACTTGAGATAATTTGAGGTGCTGGACTGATTTTTTAAAAAATATGAGATAACGTTAAATATTCTCCTATTCATAGTCTATCAATGTGACATAGGATTCAGCAAACCTGCCGAGCCTTTGACCAGAACCAGAAAATGGCTGAGCGGGCTTTTTCGGCGGGGGCTTGTAATCTTCATCTAGTCTTCGAGC